CTTCCATGCCACCCTGGACGAACCACTGGACTCCGTTTCGCTTCATGTTGGCGTCAGTCATCCTGGTGCGGTGCAAGAAGATGATGAGAATCTGTATTCTTCCTGTTGATCTTCTTGTTATTCCTTTTATGTTTTAGTTTTTGTCCTCGTTATTGATCTGTTTGCGCTTTTTTTTCTTCTTTTTCTTCGTGTTCTTCTGCCTACTCTCCTTCTTATTCTTGTTCTTCTCCACTTCCCCGTTGTTAGCGCTCTTTGTCTATCACGCTTTCACGCGTGCTTCCTGTGCTGTATCTTCGTGCTGTCGTTCATCCTGCAAATTTCAACGATGCACGCGTGCCTACCTGGATACGCGAATGCATGCATGCATGTACTTATGTTCTCCCCCGTGTGTATGCGCAGGTCTTCCTAGGCCTATTGAAGCTCTTGTGGCTGTTCCCCTGCCCCCTCAGCTGTCTGCCATGAGAGAAGAATACGTCCGCAGCAACTCCGTCGCAGGCGAGCCCTCCACTGCGTACCACCCGTCTCCAGTATCTTTCTGTGTAGACATCCCCTTCAGCTCTGTTCGCAGCAGCAAACTGCAGCAGCAACAGCAGGAGCAGCAACAGACAGTAGAAACGGGGGCAGAAGTCGGCAAGGAATTCTCCCAGCAAAGCCGTTCTGTGAACTCTATGCACGATCCACAGCCACAGGGGTCCTGCGTTGTGCCGCTGCCTTCGTTTCTGTCTCTGGAGACGGCTGCAGCTAGAGATAGGCGGCTACAGCAGCAGCTGCAGCAGCAGCCGTTGCTCTCTACTCCTGCCTGGGGGGAGCCGGTAACAGCAGATATTACTGCACTAGATATTGAAAGGGCAGCAGACGCCGCTGCTCAGCGGGCTGAAGCTCAGCGCAATCGTTCTATGCTTGCTGCTGCTGTTGTTTCTGCCCGCGCTGCTTCTGCTGTCGGCGTCGCAGAGGCAGTTGCTGCTGCAGCTGAGGCCCGTGCAGCAGCGTCAGCTGATGCTCCTACAACTCGTAAGGCGCCCTTTTCTTCTGCAGCTACGCGGCTGCGCTCTGCCCTATCCCGGTTTCCTCATGCGGGCAATAAGGAGCAGGAACCACAACAAGCAGCAGCGACGGGAGCAGCAGCAGCAGCGGCAGCAGCAGACGGCTCTCCTACAAGCTATGAAGTTGACAGCCCTTCTGCCGCAGCAGCAGGTGCTGCTGCTCCTGGAGAGGCGGTGGAGGAGGCAGCGCCAGCAGCACGCGCGGCTTATCGCTCGGAGGCGCAACACTCTGCTTCTCGTCCTGAAGAGGAGTCAAGAGGACCGCAAAGGGCACCTTCGTCTCTGGCGTGTTCATTTCCTATAGAGTCATCGGGTCTAAAGGAAATTGCAACAGCGACAGAGAGAGATGAAAATGAAGCAAGCGCAGTCGAGATGTCCTCCTTGGTTTCAGTTCTTCCCTTTGAGTAAGGATTTGAACCCTAGCCTTCTTATCCCTGCATTCCTGCATGCATAGCCGCATGCATTCGTTGGCGTCCCGCTTGCTCAGCAGCTGCTGCCGCTGCAGCGGTGCTGCCTCTACTGCAGGTTCCTTGTCAGTGCATGCAGCTTCGCTGCTGTTTTCGGTTTCGTCGTGTTTCCCCTCTTCTTGTGGCCAGCTGAGAACTCAACATGTCCTCAATTGCTGCTGCAGGAGTTGCTGGCGTCTTTCGGGCTGCTTGAAAATTTGCCTCGTCGTTGAGCCTTTGCCTGGGGAGCGTCACCCCTCTGCAGGCCCCAAGTCAGCAGGTAAGCAGTCTGTGGTTCTGAGGTGTATCGGCACCCTGCTGAAACTGAATGCGTCAGTGCTCGCGCAGTATTTATAAAACAATGAAAGCATTCAAAACACTTATCA